TTTTTTTTTTTTTTTTTTTTTTTTTTTTTTTTGGTACTGGGGATGGAACTCAGGCCCTTTGGCTTGCGAGTCATGCTCCAGAACCACTGAGCTAAATCCCCAGCCCTGTGATTTTTTTTCTTTTTCAAGCGACCAAGATCTCCTGCTCCAAAAGCCAGTGTCTCACCCCTGAGTCTCACTTCTCCACATTCTTAACAAGGTTGGCTCTCGCAGGGCCAGCCACCACCCCAGGTGAGCAAAATGCCCAAGTCCCAGCCCTCACTACATGCTCTTTTAAAGCCCTATTCTACTTTTTTGCATAAAAGGAGTATATTCTGAAGGCTCTAAGCCAGCCCAAGCTCAGTCTTGTTGTGACTGAGGTTGTGCCACAGCATCCCAGGTCCATCAGGTACAGACCTTCCCTCTGCTCAGGCTACCTGTTCTTTTAGGGAGGCCAAGGGAAGCATAAAGTCTAATTTCTCCCCAGCTCCAGCCCTCTCTTTCTACCCTTGCACTGGCCCGGAATGGTCACCATCCCCTTGGATCCTGGCCTTTCTTCTTCCAGAGGAAGTCTAGTGTGTTCCACTCAGTGTGTGCACCTGTCAGACCATGTCCTGTTCTGTAGGAACTACACGGGCTTGTGGGACCAGGGAGGTCCCAGACCATAATACTTCTTTCCATCACCCTCCCACCAGTACCTTAAATCTCTTCCCCCCAACTTTCTCCAATTCCCCCCCCGTTTAATTCCTCCATAACCCTAACTCCTCATACACACCCAAGTCTGTAGAAGAGTTAGTGACTTCTATTTTTTACTTCGCAATAGAAAGCTAATAAGGAGTGGTCAAACTGTATGGTGAATTTTTTTTCAAAGAAAAAAATTATTACAGTAAAAGATAATTTGCCTTCTACACAGCAAGGAAACAATCAGTAGAATGAAGAGACAACCTACAGAATGGGAAAATTTTTTTTCCAGCTATTCCTCAGACAGAAGACTAATATCTAGAACATAAATAGAAATTAAAAAAACTAGATCTCTCAAAATAAAAGACCCAATCTAAAATGAGCAAGTGAAATGAACAGACAATTCTCAGAAGTATGAATGGCCAATAAACATAAAAAAATCCAATATCTGTGGCCATGAGAGATGTGTACATTACTGCTAAGGTTTCATGTCATACCAAAAAGAATGGCAACCATCAAGAAATCAAATAACAGAAAATGCTAGGGTGGCTGTGGCAAAAAAAGAACCCTCCTACATTGGGAATGTAAACCAGTAAACCACTGTGGAAATCAGGATGGAGATTTCTCAAAGAACTAAAATTAGATTCCATCTGACCCAGCTATTTCCCTTCTAGGTATCTTCCCCAAAGGGATAAAGATAATCATATTACAGCAATGCATGGATACCAATATCTATAGAAGCACAATTCAGAACAGCTAAGTGCCAGAAGCAGCCTGTATGTTCATCGACGAATGAATGGAAAAAGAAAATGTGGTATCTATACATAACAGAATACTGTTATGTACTCAGCTATAAAGGAAAATGGATATACACAAAAAATATAATGTTCATTGAAATAAATCAGACACTCAAGCTTTATCCACAACAGGGCCATAATTCATTATGTCTTGCTGTCAGGTGGCTGCAAACCACCTGAAGGACAGTCATGAATATACCACCGTGGTTCAAGCCAGCAGGGATGTGTTAAATACCATACAGCACCTCTGATTTGAGTAAGGCAAAGTACAAATAAAAAGCACAACAAAGGAGCAATAGAAGGAAACAGGGAGACAGATCTTTCGCAAATGGAAAGGAGGCCAAAGGACCAAGGAGGAGGAGAAGAGGAAGGAGAAATTTTTAAGATGTGCAGGTATTCACATCAAATACCTACAATGAATGTAAACATTAAATGCCACAAATATGAACTAAAATAATAATAACAACAACGATAATAATAACAATAATTAAAATGGGGCCAGGGGATGTAGAGACAGAGGGAGGGAAGTGAATGGGTTGGGGAAAGGAAATAAAGACGAGTCAAGATGTATTATGTGCATGTACCTACTTCCTAAGATAAATGTAGAACATATACAGCAAACATGTATTAATAAAAAAGATGATTTGCCATCAATATTCCACAAAATATCACTTGCTTCAAACATATTTATCCCATCATTTTTGTAACTTTCTGAAGCAGTTCTGGGAATCCTCTTTGTTGAGGATCTTTATGAGATGTGATAAAAAAAAAAAAGGTGAATGCTGCCATCAAGTGCCACCAACAGAAAGGAAGGCTCGTAAAAACAGTGTGTCCTCATCCAGCTTATTCACCAGACCTGAAACCATGTGACTTCTGGCTTCCTGTAAATTAAAATGATTATGAAAGATGCTTTCAATCAACTCAGGATTACTGAGGCAGCCATGACAGCATGACTAAAGACACTTACAAAAGAGAACTTCCAGAACTGCTTCGGAAAGTTGGCAAGAACGACAGGATAAGGGTGCTCAAAGTTAGGGGGAATATTCTGAGGGGAGTTAATGGCAATGTGTCTTTTACCGTAATAAATTTAAACAGTTTAAACATTCACTCTACTTTTTGATCACACCCTTTGATATGGCTCGAAAGACTCCTGGGCAGGAGGGTTAGAAACCAGGGTGTCCACTAAAGGTGTAGGGAAAGTGGGAAGGGTAGGGGAAAGGTAATAAAGGAGAAGAAAAAAATATGAGAAAATGGAAATGAAGCGTTGTAAATGGG